ATTGTTTATTGGTTAATTTTTGTTGTTCTTTTCCGTTAGCATGTGATCTCATTTTTTTCTCGCTTTCTGTGTAGTTTATGCGAAAAGCTAGACGTCAACCAGTGGTTCCTGTTGATCCAGAGATTGAAAGAACCGCAAGAAGACTTAACAGAGAGAGAAGAGAAAGAGAGGCCATAGCTATTGAGATGGCAAAAAATAGAACATTGAGGGAATTTTCAGTTCCCACGGTTGATGGTAGTGGGTCAAGTATAACTAGACCAGCAGTACAAGCCAACACCTTCGAAATAAAGCCGGCAATCATCCAGATGATCTAGTAGTCGATACAGTTCAATGGAGATTTGAAGGAAGATCCAAATCTGCACATTGCAAACTTTTTAGAGATCTGCGACACCTTCAAGTTGAATGGAGTGTCAGATGACGCCATCAGATTGAGATTGTTCCCTTTTTCATTAAGGGATAAAGCAAAGGGATGGTTAATGGCACTACCACCAGGAACGATCACTATATGGAATGAATTAGCACAAAAGTTCCTGACCAAATTCTTTCCTCCAGCAAAATCTGCGAAGATGAGAAATGATATCACATCGTTTCTCCAAGAAGAGTCTGAATCATTATATGAGGCTTGGGAAAGATATAAGGAACTACTGAGGAGGTGTCCACACCATGGTTTGCCAGTTTGGATGCAAGTCCAAACGTTTTATAATGCATCCAAATGTTTTATAATGGATTGATGGTTAATGTGCAAACGATGGTGGATGCAGCATCGGGAGTGTAACGCTCAACATGGACGTACATGATTTAAATTATGTTTTATAGCCCTCAGTTAATTTTTGTTAGAATTATTTTAAGAGAATATGAAGAAAATGCCTTAAACTTGTATTAAGGGTAAAATAGTCTTTTCACTCAAAATTAGTTGAAAAAGTAGGGAGTGAAAAGAGAGAGGATTTCATAAAGAATACAATAAATAAGGGCATTATGGTAATTGACTAAGGGACAAGGATGGAATTTCCACAAAAGTGTAAGGGCAAAATGGGAAAGTGAGTTTATAAAATAAGATGATAAGGGTTTGTAACCCTTATTTCCTTCATTCCACCGCCACACTACTCCTCCATTTTCTCGCAAATTTTCATTCACTCCTCCAAGGATTTTGAGGGCTTTTGAGTGATTTTTAATAGGGTTTTGATTCTAGACTTCAAAAGGTAAGAATTCATGCTCTTTATCTATGATTTATTTGTGTAAAAGTTGAGTTCTTATGAAGTTTATGCTTAGGGTTAGAAGAAGATTTGAATCCAACAAGAGTAGAGAGCTTAGTAGAGACTACTCAAGCATAAGGTAAGTAAATTCCACTCAAAATCCAACTCAAGTTAAAGTTTAAGAATTCAAGTGAGTAGAGATTTCTTTTAAGTATGCATATGTTATGATTATTGAGAAATTGAGATGAGATTGATGATGAATTATGCTTGTTGTTGGATATATTTGAATATGAGAAGTATATGTGATGGTTTGATGATGGGTTGAAATTGGAAGAATTGGAGAAATTTTTGGGAGTGTGTTTGCCGTGTAGGTATGGTGCTGCTACAAGAGAGATTTTCTCTCATTTTTGGATGGTTGAGAAACAAATTGAATGATAATTAAATTAGGGTTTGTTTATGCACAAGTATTGTTTGATGAAATGCCTAAGAGAAGTATAAGTTTGAGTAGAAACCTTACTTTTATGCAACATTGCATATGTGCATTTCATAAGTGCATTTAAGTAAGAAATTTTAAGCATGAGTCATCCATATGCATATAATTGTGTATGTGTAGAAACTTAAGAAAGAATAAAGAATAAAGAAAGAAAGAATAAAACACTCTAAGAATAAAGAGAAAGGAAGAATAAGCATTAAAGAATTAATGAGTGTTAAAGAGGAGAAAAGAATAGGTTATTGTGATGGGGAACCGTGAGTGTTAAGAAGAAATTCCCACATACACGCCACCTTAATTGAGTGGCATAAGAAGAAGAAGAATTGTACGACCCATAAGAGTGTATGTGGATGAGGGTTGTACCAAGAAGAATTCCTACATGCACGCCACCTTAAGTGAGTGGCCTAAGAAGAAAGAAGAAGTTGTACGGTCCGCAAGAGTGCATGTAGATGAGGACTGTACTAACTCACACGGCCAAGGTTCTAAATCCATGCATCAACCGAGTCCGATCGGCAAAGTATAAGAAAAGAAAGAATAAGAAAAGAAAGAATAAGAATAAGAAAGAATAAGAATGAGAAAAGAAAGAATGAGAAAGAGTAAGAATAAGAATAACAAAGAATGAGAAGGCTTGAACAAGCAAATAAAAGAAAAGGAAGATAAGAAAAGAATAGAAAGAAAAGAAAAGAAAAGAAATAGAAAGAAGAAATAAAATGCATTTTATGCATTATTGCATATACATTCCATTCATGCATATTACCATGAATTCCATCATGGTTAGAAAGAATAGAAAGAATAGAAAGAGTAAGGAAGAAAGAACAGAAAGAAAGAAAAGAATGGTGAGAATTAGAAATAGAGAAAGAAAAGAGAAAGAATTAAGGAAGAAAGAAAGAAAAAGAGAATTAAGTAAGGAAAGAACCAAAGAAGGAGAAGAGTTAAGGGATTTACTTACTGAGCATTTTTATGCTCACCCCGTTGTTTTTCCATGCTTTTGCAGGAAATAGGTGAGCAACAGTCGGAGGGATGTCGACAAGCGGAGAGGATTGGCATTACTGTCCACTGTCGCTAAGTTTTTTGTACTTGTTATTTTGATATATGTAAAGAATTATGTTTTGTAAGTAAAGAAAAATTTAGGCCCAACTATTTTCATATACTAAGTATGTATGTTTTATTGTATATGTTATAAAGAATACTAGTAGAAAAAAGTTATTATAGGGAGGAGCATTGCAAAATAAGACACTTGAAGAAGCTCATGAGTTGCTTGAAGTTCTAGCAAGCAACAATTATCAAAGACCTAATGAGAGGATACAATCGAAGAAATCTATGGGTCTTCATGAAGTTGATGCATACACGGCCATTTCAGCCTAACTTACAGTAGTTCAGAAGCAGTTGGGAAATATGAAGGTAAATTCTATTCAAGCACCTCAACTAACTTGTGATCTTTGTCTAAGTAATCATGTGAGCAGTGAATGTCAAGTGGGGAACACGTTTGCTTCAGCTTCATTATCATCAGAACAGGTTAACTACTTGGTAGGAAATTAGAGGCAACAGAATAATCCGTACTCTTACATGTATAATCTTGGCTGGAGGAATCATCCGAACTTGTCTTAGGGCAATCAGAGCCAGCAGAACAACCAATGGAACCAAAGAGCGATGCCAAACAACCAAGCGGGGGTAAACAATCAACCAGGGGAGTAAAGATTGACAAAACTGGAGGATATGTTCGAAAAATTTATGCAAGAGACCACAGGTTTCATGAATGAGATGAGGGCAAATTTCAGAAACCAAGGCGTGTCCATTCGGAACTTGGAGGTACAGGTGGGTCAATTGGCCGATAAGCTAAATGAGAGACCACAGGGTTCCCTACCAAGCAACACAGTGCCAAACCCACGTGAACAAGCGAATGTAATAACTTTGCGGAGTGGGACAGTCTTGGAAGAGGTGGAACAATCAAGGAAAGAAGAAATCCCACCAAAAGGAAAGGAAGATTCTGAAGAGGAAGTTGACGAAGAGATCATTGCTGAAGAGAAACCAACCAATTCTAAGGAAGATAAACAAAAACGGGAAGAATGGCAAAGGAAAAAGAAAGAGAAATTTCCATTTCCCGAGATACCACCAGAGTTGGCACGCCACACCCCTCCTATGCCTTTCCCTCAGAGAGTAAAGAAGAAAAATCAGGATAAGCAGTTTACCAAATTCATTGAAATATTTAAAAAACTGCATATTAACATTCCTTTTGCAGATGCATTGCAACAGATGCCGAGTCACGCAAAATTTCTCAAGGAGATTTTATCAAACAAAAGGAAGTTAGAAGATGAAGAAACAGTGATGCTCACGGAGGAGTGTAGCGCCATTCTATAGAAGAAGATGCCACCAAAACTCAAAGATCTAGGGAGTTTTACTATTCCTTATGTTATAGAAGACATTATTTTTGATAGAGTTTTATGTGATTTAGGTGCAAGCATAAATCTAATGCCTTTTTCTGTTTTTAAGAGATTAAGGATTGATGAAGTGAAGCCAACGACCATATCTTTGCAGCTTGCAGATAGATCCATCAAGCATCCGAGGGACATAGTTGAAGATGTTTTGGTGAAGGTGGACAAAGATATCTTTCCTGCGGACTTTGTTGTGTTAGACATGGAAGAGGACAAGGAAATGCCTCTCATTTTGGGACAACCATTTCTGGCCACTGGAAGAGCCCTTATTGATGTGCAAGAAGGAAAGTTGCTATTAAGGGCACAAGATGAAATAGTAACGTTCAACGTTTTTTAGGCAATGAAATTTCTATCAGAATCAGATTTGTGTTTTAGTGTAGACGTGGTGGATAGACTAGTAGCAGACGCCATTAAAGAGAACACGCCTCAACTACCTCTAGAAGCTTGTATGGCCCAATCAAAAATAATAGAGGTAGATGAGCCAGCGAAGAATGAGTGTGCTAGACTTTTGGAAGAACTTGAGCCGATAAATGCAAGCCAAGATCCAAAATTTGAAGAGTTTGATATTGAGAAAGAGAAGGAAAAGGCAAGAAAGGAAGAACCTCCAAAACTTGAACTAAAACCTTTACCTTCTCACCTCAAATATATGTATCTTGGTGAATCAAAAACCTTTCCAGTGATAATCAATTCAAGGTTGAGTAAATTGGAAAAAGAGAGGTTGATTCGGGTGTTAAAGGAGTATATATCAACAATGGATGGACTATTTCAGCCATTAAAGGCATCTTTCCATTTTTTTGTATGCATAAGATACTCATAGAAGATGATGTCAAGCCTAGGGTGCAACCACAACGGAGATTGAATCCTTCTATAAAGGAAGTGGTGAGAAAGGAGGTGGTGAAACTTTTAGATGCGGGCATAATTTATCCTATTTCAGATAGTCCATGGGTGAGCCCGATGCAAGTGGTTCCAAAGAAAGGAGGTATCATGGTGATTAAGAATGACAGCAATGAATTGATACCAACTAGGACAATCACAGGTTGGAGAGTGTGCATTGATTACCGAAAATTGAATGAAGCAACAAGGAATGATCATTTCTCACTTCCTTTCATCGATCAAATGTTGGAGAGATTAACAGGGCATGCTTACTATTGTTTCTTGGATGATTTTTTAGGTTATAATCAGATTGCCATTACTCCTAAAGATCAAGAGAAGACGACATTCACTTGTCCCTATGGCGTCTTTGCCTACAGAATGATGCCCTTCGGGTTGTGCAATGCATGGGCCACATTTCAGCAATGCATGATGTCGATCTTTGGGGATATGGTAGAGCGGTTTATAGAAGTCTTCATGGATGACTTCTCTGTTTTTGGTTCTTCTTTTGATAATTGTTTATCTAATCTTTCATTTGTTTTGCAGCGATGTCATGAGACAAATTTGGTGCTCAACTAGGAGAAATGCCATTTCGTGGTACAGGAAGGAATAGTACTCGGTCACAGAATTTCAAAAGACGGCATTAAAGTGGATCTGGCAAAAACTGAAGTGATTGAGAAACTGCCACCACCTATAAACGTTAAGGCAGTTCGGAGTTTCTTGGGGCATGTGGGGTTCTATAGACAGTTCATTAAGGATTTCTCTAAAATCTCTAAGCCCCTCTGCAGTTAACTGATTAAGGATAATCCTTTTGATTTTGATGATGAATGCATGCATGCTTTTCGAACTCTTAAGAAATTGTTAGTGTTTGCACCTATTATTGCAGTTCCTGATTGGGGACTACCGTTTGAATTGATATATGATGCTAGTGATTTTGCACTAGGAGTAGTTTTAGGATAAAGAAAGAACAAAGTTTTGCATGTAATTCAGTATGCTAGCAAGACACTCACTAATGCACAGTTGAATTACACCACTACTGAAAAAGAGTTGTTAGCCGTGGTTTTTGCATTTGAAAATTTCGTTCTTATTTGCTAGGTGCTAAGGTGATAGTCTACACGGATCATTCGGCACTCAAGCATTTGTTGGCAAAGCAAGAAGCAAAACCTCGGCTGATAAGATGGATCCCATGACTACAAGAGTTTGAGTTAGAGATCCGAGATAAAAAGGGGTTAGAAAATGTGGTGACGGATCATTTGTCGAGGATTGAACGACCAACCCAGGGAAGTGAAGAGGAAACCCAAATCAAGGAAACTTTCACGGATGAGAAATTGATGAGAGTTGAAGAAACACCTTGGTATGCAGATATTGCAAACTACTTGTTATCGAGAGTGCTCCCAAATGGCATGACCTTCTAGCAAAAGAGGAAGTTTTTCTCTGACTTGAAGTATTATTTCTGGGAAGAACCAATTCTGTATAAACACTGTGTTGATTAGATGATACATAGGTGTGTCCCGGAAGAGAAGATGGAGAGTATTCTATGACATTGCCATAACAGGGAAGTGGGTGGTCATTTTGGAGGAACTAGGACAGCAGCCAAGGTCCTTCAATCTGGATTTTATTGGCCAACCCTATTCAAGGATGCCTTCCGGGTGATTCAGGAATGTGATTAATGTCAACGGAGTGGAAATATTTCAAGGAGAGACGAGATGCCATTGAATAACATCCTAGTTGTTGAACTATTTGATGTGTGGGGAATTGATTTCATGGGTCCTTTCCCAAATTCTTATGAGAATATGTACATTTTGGTAGCAGTGGATTATGTTTCGAAATGGGTGGAAACAGTTGCATTGCCATCCAATGAAGCCAGTGGTGGTTAACTTTGTGAGGAAGAGCATTTTCTTAAGATTTGGGGTACTATGGGCAATCATTAGTGATGGAGGCTCTCATATTTGCAATAGGCAATTAGACGCCTTGTTGGGAAAATATGGAGTGAAACATAGAGTGGTCATACCATACCATCCTCAGACTAGCGGGCAAGTGGAACTGTCGACCCGAGAGTTGAAAAGGATTTTAGAGAAGACAATTAATGCATCCAGGAAGGATTGGTCACGGAAGTTGGATGATGCATTATGGGCATACCGCACTGCATTCAAGACTCCGATTGGCATGTCTCCATTTAGGTTAGTATATGGGAAGGCATGTCACTTGCCGGTGGAACTTGAGCATAAGGCATATTGGGCCGTGAACCAGCTAAACATGGATTTACGAGTTACTGGGGAACAAAGGATGCTGAAATTGAATGAACTTGACGAGTTCCATCATGAAGCGTATGAGAATGCTCAGATATACAAAGAAAAGACCAAGAAGTGGCATGACAAGCATATCAGGAAGAAGAACTTTGAAGTGGGTCAAAAAGTGTTGTTGTATAATTCTAGACTTAGGCTCTTCCTTGTAAAATTTAAGTCTAGATGGTCCGGACCTTTCATAGTCACAAAAGTTTACCCATATGGGGCAGTGGAGGTTTCACATGAAGAAAATGGCACATTTAAGGTCAATGGACAAAGATTGAAGCCATACATTGATGGGGTGATGAGTTGCAAGCCACTTCCTGTTCGACTTGACATTCCGACATGATGACTTGAGAAAGTCGAGCTTCCGACTATAAACAAGCGCTTCTTGGGAGGCAACCCAAGTGTTTTCATTTGTTGTTTGTTTGTGTGTTGTTTTTGAATTTGTTTAATTGTTTTATGATTTACAATAATTTTAATTTCCTGTGTTTTTGGGTGTTTCAGGTGAATTATCGAATTAAGGCGAAAAAGGGAATTTCCAGTTTTCACAGCGGTGATGTACACTTTGCACAAAATGGAATTTGAAAAGTTCCAGACTTCGCCACGGCGTTGTGCTCTCTGGAATTTTTCGTCATGACGAGACAATTTTCTTCACCGTGACATAGAAGGCATTGCTGAATTGAGCCAAGGAAGGTTCGCCGTGACGAAGAAAATTCTTTGCCGTGGCGTTGTATACACTGGAAATTTTTGCCGCGGCAAAGAAAGGCATCGACTGGGTTCTTATTTTGCTTATTGCATGAAGAACTTCTCAAACTGTTTTATATAAATTCGCGTCGCGAATCTTCATTTTCGCAAAAAAATTTCAAAACACATCCAAGAGCCAAAAACTTCCACCTTCAATCCAGAATCTCTCCAATGAATTTCCATCCCTATACCTCACTCCTTAACCCTCACAAACACCAAAACAACTCATTTTAGAAAGGATTTGTGCGAAAATTTGAAGAAAATTTTGGAAACCCTTGGTTTTTAAAAATTAGGGATCTTGCAATTTGGACCGAAATTGGTGAAATCGATGGTGCAATCATCTTCGGTTTGGTAAGATTTTGAGTTCTCCAACATTTAATTTGCTCAATTTCGATTGTAGTGCTTTAAGTTTGAGATATTGTTTGATTAAGTTGAGTTGTGGATTTTTGGGATTGTTTGTGGTCTGATATTGATTAAAAGAGTGTGGATTTTGCTTTGTGTTGTGTTGAAGAAGTTGGGTTTTCGATTGGGGAGTGTTGTGTGTGAGTTTGGAAGAATAGTTAGTTTGGGGGTCTAGGTGCAAAATTTCAAAACTTTGGTGCATTTTCAGGAGTGATTGTGGTCAGTAGTAAGGGAACTTAGCGTTGAATTCTTAGTTTGGGGGTACATTTGGGTAGTCAAAACCAAAAATACAGCTCAAAATGACTTCCCGGGGCAAAGGAAAAGGGAAACAAGTAGACAATAGGTTTGTTAGTGAAAAGGCTTGGCAACATTATGAAGGTGCAATCAAAAGAAAAGATAAGGGGTTTATTGCCAAGCATGGATTGACCACTATCCATGTAGAAGATTGGAGTCGAGGGAGGAAGTGGGACAACTTCATGAGTGAACCCAAACATTTAGCCATAGAGCCGATAGTGCGAGAGTTTTATGCCAACTTCCCTAAGTGTAATCTCAGGAATGTATATGTGAGGGGTATTAATGTGCCAATTGATGCAAAGGTGATCATTCATTTCTACGGACTGCCTTCAATTGACTGTGATGAGTATCTGGAATTTAAAAAGAGACAGTTTAAAGAGGATGAGATTCTTAAGGTAATAGCGAAGCCGGATACCCCTTGGGAGATTTCTAAGAAGGGAAGAAATAGCATTAAGAGAACAAATTTGATCCTGATAGCTAGATTGTGACAGTACTTTGTGTGTGCAAGGATGATGCTGGAGACGCATTATAGTACAGTGACTTTTGACAAGGCATTGTTGCTTTATTCCATTGCCACCGGAAAGAAAATGGATGTGGGGAATATTATCATGACAAGTATACAGAATACAGCCAAACTAGGGCGAGGGAGCTTCCCCTTCCCACATCTCATCACTGAGCTGTGCACTCGAGCGGTAGTTGAGAAGACAGATGATGAACCACTTATTCATCGTGCTCCACCCCTTGATGCCACCTACTATCGCAAGCTACTTGGGCGTCCACCCAGAGAAGGACCCAGATCCAGAACAAAATGACAAAGAACCATAGAAGCTCCACAGAAGCTACCACATCAACCAGTTCAACATCCACAACGAAGGAGCTACTGCAGCAGATTTTGGGTAAGATGAAACGGATGGAACGACGTCAAGGTTGGTTGGCAGAGCAGACCTGGATGCTGTATGATATGCAACACAGCTGCTGCACCAAGCCAGACATTGATACTTCGAGCTTCCTATGGGAAGACTGGGATTCCGAGGAATGGGATGTTTCCAAAGAAGAAGATGAGGACACCGAAGGCGAGGAGGAGGACAAAGAATGAACCTTGAGTACCTGTTTTTGTAGTTTATATTTTCATTTGTTATAGTCTTTTGTTTTGTAAATTGAATTGAATTTTCTTTTCGCTTTGGATTGTTAATTTTTGTTTGAACTTTCTAATAGTTGTAAGAGCGAGATTAGGTTGTAATATTTCCATATTATTTAGTGAATTTTGCTAACACAGTGGACACCACAGACTTTCAATTGTTTTACAGACGATGATTATGAGAAAGCCAAGGAATGGGTATGCATGTTGTTGAACAAAATTCAGACTTCACGGATTAATCAGGGAACTATCTCGTACCTTTTTTTTTTTTTAAATACTGTTTTTCTATTCCTAAATTGTGCATAATGTGACATTGGGGACAATATCATCTTTAGTTTGAGGGGTAGGAAAATTTCAAAATTTTGATTTATGTTTAGTGTTTTCATGTTTTGTTTTGTTGCGCCAATGATGAATTGCATAAGTCTATGATGAGAATAGGATTATTGGGATTTTATTGTTGAAAAATGTTAAGCATTGCTTCAAGTTTAGGTTTGTTGACTTGATTTAGCTTGAGGTTTGTTGAGTGGTTCAACCACCAGTTTCATTATTTTGGCATGCTTAGATTCATTTGATGTACTTAGGGGAAGTCTTGATAATGTTGGTGGACTCTAGAACGTAGTTTAGAAGTGCTTGAGGCGAAATTCTAGGAATAGACATTATTGAGGAAATGATTTAGGCATTTTTTCGAAACGTTTGAGCTTTTCCAGCCGACCATGAAAATTTATCCTTAGTCACCCATTTGAGCCTTATGAAATCATTGTTGTCCTATTTTTGTGTGCAACCAATAATGCCCAAACCTTTCACCCTAAACACGTGTCACAACCCTTAAGAAAATTCTGAACCTAATGTAAACACAAAGAGCTTAGAGAGTTGTGTGAAATGCTAATGAACTAAAAGAATAGTTTGGGGGTCGTGAGAAGGGCAAGAAGAAGAAAAAGGGTAATTAACCTCAATAAGATTATTGTTGCTTTTAAAAATAAATAAATAAAAATAAAATAAAACAAAATATATGTATATAGAATTTGAAAGTGTATTTCAGAATCGAGAATAAGAATGGCACATGGTTGAGGGTTATAAAATGGTTGACATCTTGAGTGGTGGTTGAGAAAGAAAGTGGAAGTTGATGTAAGTCTTAGTGTTTGCTTAAAGGAAACCGAGTTATCCTGCTTTGTTTATCATTTCCTTTTCTTTGGAGCCACTAACCGAGCCTAACGTTACAAACCTGTAAAGACCTTTTGATCCTTAGTGATGTCTAGTCCTCATTAGTGGAGAGTAGTTCGATACTTAGGCTTATGGAGTCTGCCACCATTTTATAAACTTTGCATTTCTGCATAAAATAATCTGGGAAGTCGAAATGTGGACTGAAATGGGGATCACCTACTCGAGGGACAATAGAGAAAGATAGTCAATGCAACTTATAACTTCTTGGAGTGTTAAGCTTTTTCCAGTAATAACTTTTCAACAATTTTTGAGACTTGTATAAATTCTAGGCAGTTCGTTGTGTTTGAGTTGAGTCTAATTTTTCTCATTTCATTTTCAATTTTGTTGTTTTGTGTTTTTGTTTGTTAGTTGTTTTTCTTGTAGTCATGTTTTGTACCTGACACTCGGGGACGAGCATGTCTTTAGTTTGGGGGTATTTGATAATCCGAGGATTATACTGTTTTATTTAGGCTTTTTGGTCGAATTTTAGATACTTCTTAGTTCGTTTGTACCTGAATTGCTATGTAACTCCACATATTTTGTGTTTCAAGTAAAAACGTGTACTTTGAGCGAATAATGAGCGAATTGGAGTTTCTGGACCCAGAAGCAAGCGAATCTCAGAATTCAGGGAAGTTCTAAAGCCGATTTGAAGCACTATGAAGCTTGTTTCCATGAGAAAGCATCGAAGATTGAAGATTCAAGCAAAGAAGCAAGCAGAGGGCAATTCTATAAAATTCAAAATTGTTTTGGAATGTTCGCCACGGTGAAGTTCTTTCTTCGCTATGGCGAGAGATGCTGGGCACGAGATTTCACTTTAACTCGTCGCCGTGGCGAAGAATATTCTTTGCCACAACGAAGTCTGCGATTTTCAGTTTTAATTAAAACACACAGTTTTATTTTAGGAAAGTTTAGAGCTTTTTGGACCGACTATATAAGAAAAAGTTAGCCATTTTTAAAGGGGTTTGTCTGGGTTTAGAGCAGCTTTGACATTTTGGGACAACAGGAAAGAAGATTTGGGATTTAACCTTGTGGATTCATCAATTAGGGGAGATCTTTTTGTTAGGAAACGGTCCATATATGCAACGGAAAACAAAATCATAATAACAAGGATCGTTCCCATTGAGCCAAGATCAAAGGTACAATTTTACAGTTTATGTTAAAATAGAAGTCTGCAAAAATTAATCATGAGTTTAGAAAACATACGCAGTTTGGAGGCTCCTCCAAATTTGTCAATGAACGTTTTGCTACCGACCCAAGTGTAGGATCGAACCCACTTAGTCCACACGAAGACAATCACAAAGAACTATGGAGGGATTTGCTAGATCCTCCTTAGCTTTAAGA